TTTGGTACCAGGGATTGAACTCAGGCCCTTGTGCTTGCAAAGCAGGCACTAGAACCACTGAGCTAAATCCCCGGCCCTCACTCATATTATTGCTGGCAAGTAAAAAGAACAAGGAGAGACCCACTCAGAGATGCCCCCAGTGAAGTAATGAGCTCCCAATAGGCCCTACCTCTCAACAGCACCACCCTGGCAGCAAGCTGTAACCACGTGGGCTTTGGGGAAACATTTAAAATCCAAACAACCACAGCAGTAGTATCTCGTTGTGTTGAATCTGCATTTTCCTGTTATATGTTTATTGGGTCTCTTGGATATCCTTCTCTGTGAATTGTCTAATTGTGTTACACGCTTTTCTCCTGGGCTGTACGCCTTTTCTTGTGGATTTGCAGTATTCTTGCTACATTCTGGGCAGAAGTCACGCAGTGAATATATTGCAGCATTTGTTCAGAGTTAGACAGACTCAGAGTATGTCAGTGTCAGCCCACGGTGTGTCCCAGGAAAAAATGAGCTAAGTGAATGCTTGAGTCTGAAAATTCCTTTAAGGAAAGAGTGCTTGGGTAGGTGTGCTTTTAGGGAATATAATTGGATTTAGGATACAGGTCCCGAAGAAAGGGAGAACAAAGATAATGCAAGTACTGTAAGATGACCTGAAACCTCCCCGCTCCTAGCCTGCAGTTTCTGGCCATAGACTTTAAAACACTCAAGTGTTTTAAGGTAACTGCAAAATAATATTCAAAGAAAGTCCATGTAAAGTATCAAAGGAACAGTCTGCTCTACACGGTGAGGATTCGTAGCGAACCGGAGACAGGACACCCAACAAGTAAACAATGTAAAATCGTTTCAGGTAGACCAGATAGACGTGAACTGAACAAGTCAGACGTGGACAGAGGGAGGATCAGCACGCTGATCCAGCAACTCCCAGACCGGGACTCTAGAAAGGTTCCACCCTTGGCCCCGCCTCCAGCTTTGCATACCACGCCTGATTGGTCGTCAGCGGCCAGCCCCACCCCGCAGAGCTGGCGACTCGGGAAGCTGCAGGCGGGGGTAGACCAGATAGACGTGAACTGAACAAGTCAGACGTGGACAGAGGGAGGATCAGCACGCTGATCCAGCAACTCCCAGACCGGGACTCTAGAAAGGTTCCACCCTTGGCCCCGCCTCCAGCTTTGCATACCACGCCTGATTGGTCGTCAGCGGCCAGCCCCACCCCGCAGAGCTGGCGACTCGGGAAGCTGCAGGCGGGGGG